AGCGATCAAGCTAGGAAATCATTAAATTTCTTACCCCTTGAATCTCGATCGAGCAGCTTTACCCCTTCTGTACGCCGGACGTCACTCTTGGGGAATCGGTCGAGAAAGGCGCCAAAGGTAAACGGGAGCTCCTGATGTGCATATTCCCGTTTTAGGGTAGCAAACTCCTCAGAAGATTTAACCATTTCCCGAACGGCGGACATATCCATGTCAATTTCAGCCAGACCGTCAGGGATACGGGGAACCATCTCTACGAACTTGACCTGAACGGCTTCTGCTGCAGAAACTTTAGCCTGGGCAGTGGCCAACTGAACCCGGAGCCCCCCCCCCCCCACTTCGCTCTCAAGCTTTTGCCTCTCCTCGGCAAAGGATTTCTGTTCGGCTTCCAGCTGTGCAAGGGCAGCAGCGACATTCTGTTCAGCAGAAGTCTGGGCAACAATCAGCTCCCGCTCTTTGGCCAGTCGGGCATCCTTCAGTTGCAGGCTGTAGAGCCCAACCTACAGAATGTCGTTCGAGAAGTAAGGTGATAAGTTTGAAAGCAAAGATTCACATATATAAGGAGTTATTGCAATGGTGAAAAGTAAAGTACCTTTAGGGCTGCTAAGGCCAAGCATTCCTCAGATTGCTCGACCGGCAGCTTGGGAACAGTGAAATTGTTGAAAAATGCGGAGGTAGACTAGATCTGACTTGCCGAGCATCCACCTTTCTCTACAACTTCATGAACCGGATCTGCCAGTGAGATCCGGTCGACCTGGCCAGATAGATGGACGTTATGCATATCACCCGTACCCTGACCAGTCTCCTGAGCAGCCTGGAAGTGCTCAAGGGGATTGATGCATCTGATCAGAACCGAACCGATCGTCGACCAGCATGGCATCAAATTGGTCTTGATGGACCTGTTGCAGCGGCTGTGGCTCTTGAACGGGATGAGAAGACCCGGCATCCTGAGCGGTGGTAGTGGAAGGAGTGGGTTGGGGGGTTTTCCTGGCTTTCTTTCGTTTCCCGACCCCACCAGCTGCGAGAACTCGACTATTATCCATAGGTGCGTCTGGATTGGGAGCTAGAAAATAACAAAGGAAAATGTTAGTACCGAGCGGCCTTATCACGTGGGAAACAACAAAGAAGAGAACGTTTCTCGCACATGAAGGACCGCCCGGACCATGGCACTTGATTTCTCAAAACAAGTAAACCCAAGAGAACGGGCAGTACCTATCCCGGCTTTGATAAGCCGATCGGGAGTCAGGTAACTCATGATATCTACACATTTGTCTTTCTCCACAGCGAGCACGTCCTTGTAAATTTCCTCAGTAAGGACTGGATCAGGAGATTTGCGAGGGAAGGCATTCCATTTGCGGGGGATCAGGCCGTCCGGGACAGACACAAAGAAGAACTGATCCTTCCACCCCTTGATTGAAGTCGGATTGCCCTTAAACAGGATATGTCCCGTTCGGACACTAGTAGCCAGATAGCCGTGTGTTTGTTGGGGGGCTACTTTAAAAAATTGGTGAAATAAATCTAGGGTCGGCCGGGCATCAGCATCTTTACAACGGCAAATAAAGCCCGCCATTGCCCGGTAGGAGTTTGGCATGATTTGGGCCGGTACAATTTCGTAGAAATTAAAAAATGAAACGAAAAAAGAATGTAGTGGAAACCTAAGCCCGACCCTAATTGAATCAAAATGGACTACAACCATCCCAGGGGTATGGCGCATTGGGTGAAGCCCAGCTCGCAATCGGAAGTCCACTGGATCTGGGATTAGGGCCGGAATTTCGGCCCTATTGTGAGAAGTCAGTTTTTGCCGCCTCTCCCTAATCAATCTTAGGTCAAGCGTGTGACGAGGGAAATCGTTGGGACGTCCGGCCGCCATGGAAGTCAGCTCATCTTCAAACTTGGTGTCATCGGAATCTTTACGGGAGGAAGAAGAACTGCCGGAGGAATCCTCTGTCTCCGCCCTAATCTCCGCCGTCGCCACATTGGAGCCCTCATCAAAAGGGACGGTGATAATCTCCACATCACGGTCTTCCCCTTGGGAAGCCATTTCCGAATCGGAACACAGTCGAGAATTCATAACGATCGGACCAAAGAAGAGAAAGATTTAAAGGAATGAGAAGTACCTGGGCACGAAAAGCTTGAAAAATTTGAGAAGAAGAGGCAGAGTAAAAGCACGAAGAAGATTGAAAATTCGAAACCCAGATTTGAGGAGTTAAAGGCTAATTTATAGCCTTACAAACGCCGTATCAAAGACCAATTAAATAGAGACACGTCACTGAAACTATTTGAAATAATACGTCACATGGAAGAGCAAAGATCAACAATCATGACGTATATGGGGAAACTCAAACGACAGCCGTCAAATCACAGTATGGGGAAGTGACCATTTCTGTACCCCGATCGCCATTCGGCAGTTGCAACATTGGTGCTTATACTTCCTAATGCACTCACTGTCATTCGAGACATCGGAAGTGGGGGACTCGTGTTGGGATATTGACCCGGAGGCCCAATACCCGGATTAAAGGCCCAGGACATCCAGCCCAAACAACGAGTCCACTACCTTATGATAAGTAGGCCCAGTGAGGTATTCATATCGAACGAGGTTCGGGCCAAGTAAAGGCTGGCCCAGAAGACAGACAAACCGAACGGGGTTCGGGTCATACATCATACTTTGGCCAAATCAACAATGTTTTACAGGGCCCATTATCCCTTTCGGGCAACGGACAACCAGCAGGTGGCCAGGTGCAATTAATGCCAGATTGTGACATCATCAAGTGGAGGCATGGGTGATCAAGTCGGTGGAACATCGGCCAATCAGCATAAAGCATCCCATACTCTCCATTAGTATAAATAGAAGGTTTAATATCATTGTAAGGGTTAGCTTTTTAATACTCAAGCCCTAGAATAGCCTTATTACTCTTGTTTCTTGTACTAAGCATCAATCCGACGTACCGTTCGGGTAATTTCCTTGTAATCAAACAAGTTGATTAATATAAGTGGGCTTTTGAGCATTCAATTGTCAATCTTTTATATTTTCTTTTACATACCAAATTATTGTCCATTTCCTGATATATCCAAAGTCTGTGTTGGGCTTTCGGATCTACGGGACTAAACCTCAACAAGCTCTTTCCTTTCAAAAAAAACTAAAGAAAAGCCGTAAAATTCAAGTCGCCTCTTGCTCGCTGAACGCAATTGTAGACAAAGTTTCCGACCATGCCCCTAAAATTGAAGTCAGCGTACAGGATGCAACCCTCAAGAGTGTCAAAAAGCTGTTATTATAAACTAGTATTTCACCCGTGCGATGCACAGGTAGAACTTTTTGTTCAAGTATTTATGCACAAAAAGAAGTTCATAAAAGTAAATAATAAAATTCATTGTCATACAAAATATTATGCAAAAATAAGAACTTTAAAGAATACAAAAAAAAACTACAATAACAAAATAAAATATTAGTTTTACTGAAAGTATTACAATTAACGCATTACTATTGTTATGGATGAAAACATTATAGGAATAATAGTTAAATAGCAATAGAAATATACGAAGTACATCTTAAAGGAAGAATATAAAAACATTACCTATTTACCTCTCAATTGGCAAAGCAGGTTTTGCCCAACGTAAATGGGTTAAACCCATTCGCAAAATCATCCAGATTTATATAGTATGAAGATATTCTTTGTATTGGTAATGAGGTGTTTAAAAATCCTAAATATAACAATTAACAAATTTGAAAATAAGGTATTAGTCTATCTATATATTTCGACAGATAGCAATTTAAGCACAACCAAGTACTCTCGACGTTTGGTTAGTTTCATATGAATGGTTATTATGTATATTCTTTGAAGCTTATGAAACATACGAAGTTAGTGGTTCTTGTGTTGGAAGTATGCCCTAGGACAATCATACTTTATGATTTATCAATGAATATTTAATGCTCATTAATTAATAAAGTCACAAACTCATTTTATGTTAATTATTATTGTGAGTTTTCTTTATTAATATTTAGTCCCTGAATATTATGTTTAGTAGCTAATTAAGTACGTGACTTAATTTTGGAATGCTACACTTTAAATAAGCATAATATTCTAATTGTCCATGGTCTAATATTATTAATCTGGGACATTAATAATTAATAGACCATTATGTGCATTAACTGATGGCTATATTCCACTAGTCATGGGTATAGAGATATCAAGTTAATAACATAGATGCTTGTTAGTGAACAAGTTCATTGGACAGACCCAACTTGAGGACACTGCTAGGTTATATGTCATCGGTGTTGTCCTCAATAATGATGAGGTGCTATATTCTTATACTTGAGATAATCATGGTTACTTGCATGCGAATTAATATGTATTAACACCATTAAATATTATTTTAAATGGGTAATTATAAAGGTGGTGATTGTACATATTATGAACCATGTAGTGGTATGTGAATTATCAAGATAGTTTTTGTCACTCTCGTATAGCGAGAGAAAGATATCTATTGGGCCCCTTGACAAGTAAGATTAATTAGCATGACCATGCTCAAATGAGGTGTCATTTGTTCAAAATTAATCTTACTTGGTAATCAAGAAATATTAATTGAGAATAACAAGGATGACATGACCTAACCTTGTCTCAATTAAGATATCGTTTGACAAAAGAAAATTATTAGCACAAATTAATCATTAAAAGGTTATGTCAGATTTAATTGACATTTATATATTTTTTGGATAGTCATAATGCCTTGCTAGAGGCCGCTTATGATTTGTGAGGCTTGAATTAATTTTTTTAGCTCACTGCCAATAATATATAAACCTACAGGGTCACACACCTAAGTGATTTGGATCATTAATGTTCGTTAATAACATTAAAATAGCCTGATTAGCCCAATTCGAAATAGGGTTTCGAATGGTATTGGGCTAGGGCCTCTTGGAGGGTTTTATTAGCTATAAAACTCATTCTTTCCTCCTCTTATAAATAGGGCTATATAGACCCACGAATTTTAAGAGTTAAAATTCACTTCTAAAACCTAGAGTAGAGAGGAAGAAAGAAGAGAACGCTAGCACGTTCCCTGCGGCCGATCCAATCACGTGCGTGTGGATACCGGTAGAGCTCGGGATCGTTTTCTCGGACTGTCTGACATCCTTGATTAAGATTGATATGTAAGTCCCTCTTATATCTTGTAATTTCATTTATAGTAAGAACCTCAGATCCGGTTGTTTACTTTTGGGCAGTATTTTTTTTGTTTATTCCGCTGCGTTTTTCTGCCCGAAACCCAACAGTGGTATCAGAGACTACGGTTCTTTATTATATTCGGGTTACCTGATTTAATATATAATCAGTAATTTGATTATTTTGGGATTTTTCGGAATTAATTTTTATTAATTTCGGAATTAGTTTTTTTTTATTAATTTCGGAATTTATGTGTATTTATATTCCGAATTTTTTTTGGTAAGGATGTGATATTCGAATATTTCGAATTTGATCCAATATATATTCACAATTATATTTGGAATATTTTGTGATATTATTTATTATTTTTCGGATCACATCTGAATGGAATTAGGAATTGGATAAAATCCTACAGCCTAATTATTCGGAAGAGATCTGAATGGACATGAAAGTTCAATAGTTTGAATTGGATCTGAATTGATATTCATAATTTATGTTAATAATATTTTATGATATTATTTATTATTTTTCGGATCAGATCTGAATGGAATTAGGAATTGGATAAAATCTTACAGTCTAATTATTCGGAAGAGATCTGAATGGACATGAAAGTTCAATAGTTTGAATTGGATCCGAATTGATACTCATAATTTATGTTAAGAATATTTTATGATATTATTTATTATTTTTCGGATCAGATCTGAATGGAATTAGGAATTGGATAAAATCCTACTGCCTAATTATTCGGAACAGATCTGAGTGGATATCAAAAATTCAGTTTTTTTTAATCAGATCTGGTTCAGAATATTATTTTAGTTTTAGGAGATTTGATTTCTAATTTTTCGGATGAGATCCGAATTATTTTGGCAACCGCCGGCAAATGAGGTGTTTTTGTGGACCAGACAATCTTGTTTTGGCCGTAACTTTTGACTCGTTAATCCGTTTCCGACCCATAAGTACTTTTCGGAAACGGGAAGACGAGCTCTGCACAAATCATGGCAAAGCCGTGACAAATCTCCCATATTATAATTCGAATGATTTGATCAAGTGTTCTGCCAAATTCGAATTTGAGTTCATTATATTTTATTCGTATTTATATATGTGTACTGATCTATATTACGGATATGATTTGTACATGTGTATATATAATACCAATTATTTTAGAATTCATTAATATGTATGTTTATTTTTCGGATGAGATCCAAATTAATTACATATTACTTGCGGATTTTAAAATTTAATTTTCAATCCGTGCATGCGCAATTATTTTGTTTCGTCACAGGACAGATTGAATTGGTGGTATAGCATGATCCAAATGTATGTTTTATATTATGTTGTTTTACGGCCTGCGTGTCGTTATTCCGAATATCCCCTGTAATGTTTTCAACCCCGTAGATATTTAGTAGTCTACTGCACAGGTTGAAGATGCCAAGGAGATATGAAGTATTAGGGGGTCATGCTATATCACTACACTAGTTTTAAATTATTTATTTAAATCTATGATTGCTGCATGTGTTTAATAATTAGTCCCTATTAATTATAAGTATAAATTGCTTTCCCAATATGACCACCATTTATACTATGCTAGTCGTGTTATGTGTCTGCCAAAGCAGAGCATTTCACACTATCTTAGGAAGATGTTTTGAATGATCGTCATTCTCGGGTCTTAATATTGGTTTGGACTTACAAGGCCATCAAAATGGTTTTGGGCCTTGAAGCAAGGAATGTTTGGATAATCATATGATGGTGACCAAACAAACCAAGAGTCATATAGGATATGATTAACAAGAGTTGTTTACCTAAATAACTAATGTTTAAGTGATAAGCCAAAGCTTACTTAAATTTTAGTGAAATATGGATCTTGGACCACTATATTTGGGACTTTCTATTTAATATAGTGGGAGTTGTTTTGAGCATTATTTAAAATTCTTTGCATTATTTGTTGTAGTTAATATGACCACCAACACAACTTTTTCACTGCGATCAATCATTGAGAAGGAAAAACTTAATGGAACAAATTACATGGACTGGGATAGGAATCTGAGAATTGTTCTCAGGCAAGAGCGTAAAGAATATGTCCTTTACCAACCAATTCCTGCTGAACCAGCGGCCAATGCTCCTAGAGCCACTAGAGATGCTTATGAAAGGCATGTCCGTGATGAAGTTGATGTCACTTGTCTGATGTTAACCATCATGGAAGCTAATCTTCAGAATCAGTTTCTGAATCGTCATGCACATGACATCTCTAATGAACTCAAGAACTTGTTTCAGAAACAAGCACGGATCGAAAGGTTCGAGACAACCAAGGCTTTGTTTCACACAAGGCTTACTGATGGGAGCCCAGTTGGACCTCACGTACTCAAGATGATTGGGTATAGGGACCACTTGGAAAGACTTGGATCTCCAATTAGTCAAGAGTTGGCTACTGATGCGATTCTCGCATCACTCACCCCGGCATATGACCAGTTCATCCTGAACTATAATATGCATGGTCTTGAGAATACCTTAACCGAATTGCATGAAATGCTCAACTCCGCTGAGCAAAACATCAAGAAAAATCGGAGTGACGTTTTGATGATAAAAAAGGGAAAGGGATTCAAGAAGCCCGGAAAAGGCAAGGTTGGTGGAAACAAGAAATCCAAAACTTTGATTAAGAACTCGGGTAAAGGCAAATCTGTTCCCAGCTCTACTTCTAAAGAAGAGCAAAAATGTTTCCACTGCAACAAAACCGGTCATTGGAAGCGAAATTGCAAGGCGTATTTGGAAGAACTGAAAAGAAAGGGGCATGGTGATGCTTCCAATTCAGGTATCTATGTGATAGAAGTAAATGTTACTATTACTACTTCATGGGTATTAGATACCGGTTGTGGTTCTCACATTTGTTCAAATGTGCAGGGACTGACAAGGAGTAGAAGGATGGCTAAAGGTGAAGTTGATTTACGAGTAGGCAACGGTGCAAAAGTTGCAGCATTAGCAATAGGAACATTTACTTTAAGTTTGCCAACGGGCTTAGTTTTAGAACTTGATAATTGTTATCATGTACCTGCCATTAGTAGGAATATAATTTCTGTTTCTTGTTTGGACAAGAAAGGATTTCATTTTATAATAAAGGACAACACTTGTTCTATTTATTTTAATGAGATCTTTTATGGTAGTGCTAGTCTTATAAATGGACTTTATGTTCTAGACCTTGAAATGCCCATCTATCACATAAATACAAAAAGGTTTAAATCTAACGACTCAAACCCAACATACCTTTGGCATTGTAGACTTGGCCATATAAATGAGAAGCGCATTAAAAGACTCCATTCTAGTGGATTTCTGGACTCTTTTGATTTTGAATCAATCGAGGAGTGTGAATCTTGTTTATTAGGTAAAATGGCCAAGTCACCATTTACTGGTAAAGGTGAAAGAGCTCACGGTTTATTGGACCTCATACACTCGGATGTATGTGGCCTAATGTCAACAATGGCCAGGGGAGGTTTTCAGTACTTCATAACATTCACTGATGACTTCAGTAGGTTTGGTTATGTGTACCTAATGAAGCATAAACATGAAGCTTTTGAAAAGTTCAAAGAATTCCAGAATGAAGTTCAGAATCAAATTGGCAAAACAATAAAGGCCATTCGATCAGATCGAGGTGGTGAATATTTGAGTCAGGAATTTAGTGATCATCTAAGAGGTTGTGGAATTGTTTCACAACTCACTCCGCCAGGTACACCACAATGGAATGGTGTGTCCGAACGGAGAAATCGGACCTTGTTAGACATGGTTCGTTCCATGATGAGTCTCGCTGAACTACCAATCTCTTTCTGGGGTTATGCTCTTGAAACCGCTGCATTCATACTCAATAGGGCTCCAACAAAGGCTACAAAAAGGACACCATATGAGATATGGACAGGAAAGGTTCCTAGTCTAACCTTTGTGAAGATTTGGGGGTGTCAAGTTTATGTAAAACGTTTACTTTCAAATAAGCTTGAACCCAAATCAGATAAGTGTTTATTTGTGGGTTATCCTAAGGAAACAAAAGGATATTACTTTTACAACCCATCAGAGAACAAAGTGTTTGTTGCTCGTAATGGTATTTTCTTAGAAAGAGAATTTCTTTCTGAAAGAACCAGTGGGAGTAAAATACAGCTTGAAGAAATTCAAGAAGTTCTAGATAGTCAGACTATGCAAGCAGTCCCACAATCTCAACCACAAGTTGTTGTGGATACACCTGAGGTAGCACTCGCTCCAAGGAGGTCATCTAGGGTACGTAACGAGCCAGTTAGATACATGTTTATCTTAACTGAGCATCGTGACGTATTATTAATAGACGAAGATGAACCTTTGACCTACCAAGAAGCAATATTGAGCCCTCACTCCGATAAATGGCTAGAATCCATGAAATCCGAAATGAGATCCATGGTCGACAATCAAGTCTGGGACTTAGTTGATCTACCTGATGGTTGTAGAACCATTGGGTGCAAATGGATCTACAAAAAGAAATTAGACAAAGATGGCAATGTAGATGTCTATAAAGCACGTTTAGTGGCGAAAGGTTACAAACAAATTCATGGTATAGACTATGATGAAACATTCTCGCCAGTTGCCATGCTTAAATCAATTCGGATTCTCTTAGCAATTGCCGCTCATTTTGATTATGAGATTTGGCAAATGGATGTCAAAACTGCTTTCCTAAATGGAAATCTAGATGAGGACGTGTATATGATACAACCTGAGGGTTTTGAACATCCAATCAATGCTAGGAAGGTATGCAAGCTCAAAAGATCAATATATGATCTGAAGCAAGCATCTCGGAGTTGGAATCTTCGTTTTGATGCTGCAATCAAAGAGTTTGGTTTCAATCAAAATGAAGAGGAACCTTGTGTTTACAAGAAATTGAGTGGAAGTGCAATCACTTTCCTAGTCCTATATGTAGATGACATACTTCTCATTGGGAATGATGTTCCGATGCTTTCGTCTGTAAAGGCTTGGCTTGGAAAGTGTTTCTCAATGAAAGACTTGGGTGATGCATCCTGTGTGTTAGGGATCAAGATCTATAGAGATAGATCTAGAAAGCTAATAGGACTAAGTCAAAGTAACTACATTGACAAGGTCCTACATAGGTTCAATATGCAAGATTCCAAGAGAGGGTTCTTGCCTATGTCACATGGCACACATCTCAGCAAGACTCAGTGTCCACAAACACAAGATGAGCGAGATCGAATGAATAGAGTCCCTTATGTTTCTACTATAGGTTCTATCATGTATGCTATGTTATGTACTCGCCCTGATGTAGCTTGCGCTCTAAGCGTGACTAGTAGATACCAGTCAGATCCAGGTGATAGTCACTGGATAGCGGTCAAGAATATTCTAAAGTACTTGAGAAGAACTAAGGATATATTCTTGGTCTATGGCGGTGAAGATCAGCTCATTGTAAATGGTTACACAGATGCTGGGTTCCAATCCGATAAGGATGATTTTAGATCGCAGTCAGGATTTGTGTTTTGCCTCAATGGCGGAGCAGTGAGCTGGAAGAGTTCTAAACAAGACACGGTGGCTGATTCTACAACAGAAGCTGAGTACATTGCTGCTTCAGAAGCAGCAAAAGAAGCAGTATGGATAAGGAAATTCATTATTGAGCTCGGTGTCGTTCCTAGTATTGTTGGACCAATGGACTTATACTGTGATAACAATGGAGCCATTGCACAAGCCAAGGAACCTAGATCACACCAGAAATCAAAGCATGTACTCAGGCGATATCATCTCATTCGAGAGATAGTCAATAGAGGTGACGTCAAGATATGCAAAGTACCAACAGATGCAAATGTGGCTGACCCGCTCACCAAGCCACTACCACAAGCAAAGCATGAACGTCATACTAGTGCATTAGGCATTCGTTTTGTTCACGATTGGTCCTAGTGCAAGTGGGAGACTGTTGGAAGTATGCCCTAGGACAATCATACTTTATGATTTATCAATGAATATTTAATGCTCATTAATTAATAAAGTCACAAACTCATTTTATGTTAATTATTAGTGAGTTTTCTTTATTAATATTTAGTCCCTGAATATTATGTTTAGTAGCTAATTAAGTACGTGACTTAATTTTGGAATGCTACACTTTAAATAAGCATAATATTCTAATTGTCCATGGTCTAATATTATTAATCTGGGACATTAATAATTAATAGACCATTATGTGGATTAACTGATGGCTATATTCCACTAGTCATGGGTATAGAGATATCAAGTTAATAACATAGATGCTTGTTAGTGAACAAGTTCATTGGACAGACCCAACTTGAGGACACTGTTAGGTTATATGTCATCAGTGTTGTCCTCAATAATGATGAGGTGCTATATTCTTATACTTGAGATAATCATGATTACTTGCATGCGAATTAATATGTATTAACACCATTAAATATTATTTTAAATGGGTAATTATAAAGGTGGTGATTGTACATATTATGAACCATGTAGTGGTATGTGAATTATCAAGATAGTTTTTGTCACTCTCGTATAGCGAGAGAAAGATATCTATTGGGCCCCTTGACAAGTAAGATTAATTAGCATGGCCATGCTCAAATGAGGTGTCATTTGTTCAAAATTAATCTTACTTGGTAATCAAGAAATATTAATTGAGAATAACAAGGATGACATGACCTAACCTTGTCTCAATTAAGATATCGTTTGATAAAAGAGAATTATTAGCACAAATTAATCATTAAAAGGTTATGTCAGATTTAATTGACATTTATATATTTTTTGGATAGTCATAATGCCTTGCTAGAGGCCGCTTATGATTTGTGAGGCTTGAATTAATTTTTTTAGCCCACTGCCAATAATATATAAACCTACAGGGTCACACACACCTAAGTGATTTGGATCATTAATGTTCGTTAATAACATTAAAATAGCCTGATTAGCCCAATTCGAAATAGGGTTTCGAATGGTATTGGGCTAGGGCCTTTTGGAGGGTTTTATTAGCTATAAAACTCCTTCTTTCCTCCTCTTATAAATAGGGCTATATAGACCCACGAATTTTAAGAGTTAAAATTCACTTCTAAAACCTAGAGTAGAGAGGAAGAAAGAAGAGAACGCTAGCACGTTCCCTGCGGCCGATCCAATCACGTGCGTGTGGATACCGGTAGAGCTCGGGATCGTTTTCTCGGACTGTCTGACATCCTTGATTAAGATTGCTATGTAAGTCCCTCTTATATCTTGTAATTTCATTTATAGTAAGAACCTCAGATCCGGTTGTTTACTTTTGGGCAGTATTTTTTTTGTTTATTCCGCTGCGTTTTTCTGCCCGAAACCCAACATCTTGCACATACAGGAGAGATAAAGCTTCCATTTTGATGAAAAAAGTGACTTCTGAGCACTATTCATATTCCACACAAATCTTGAAATGTCTTACATAAAATTCCACACCAATCTAAAGAAGTCCATATAAATCTACTAAA